TATTTCAATCTATCGTGTATCCTCTTTAGTGGCGAACTCTGACATTTGATCAAGCATGCGCCTCACCTTTTTTCGTGCGCATCGCACAGAAGACTGAAGGCGCACATAGCCACATTCATGCTTTACGATTTGGACGATCTGATTTTGTTCCATAATAGTTACTTTAATTTCTTCGGATCTTGTAATGCTACCACCCTTTTGGATAATTAATCTATTTGTTGTGCTGGTTACTGTTTGTATTGTGTGCTAGCTGGGGCTCCACTTCTGGTACGCATTTCTTCGTTCATAATCAATTCCATGGTCGTAGGTTGCCATTTGCTCGTCGCGGTTTCACCTCCAATGCAAATATCGTGCTCCAGTTTACGTGCTCTGCATGTTGCCATTGTTTTCGTTTTTATAGGCTGCTGAAAAGTCGCTACTATTATTTGAGAATAGTCTTGTCGATAATGTAAATATGTTGCTTCAGCGCAGGCTGCAGTAAATAATCTTTCTATATTCTCCTTTGTGGGCTGAGTGCCCTCGCTGGCATGGCGAGGTTTTCAACCTGGTCATGCCTCATTGCGAAAAAAAGTTATAACATTGCATAGCGCCAGTGTGATTTCTCATTTTTTCCCTTTTTGCCTCCGAAGGTAACTTTAAAAACCCACACCCGTTTCCATTTACAGTATGTTTGTGTGCATGTGGTGCCCGACCAACAAATGATCTTCGATGGAACTGATGGTCCCTGTGGTGTTGGTGTGCTGAAATCAATTGGAGGTGTTGGAGGAAGTAAGAATAATGAGCATGCGAAGGCCTTGTTTGCGCTGATCAAGGATCACCTTGGAATTGCTGGAAACAGGTACGTTACATAAGTTGTTCCATAGAGTGCCTACAAATAACGACAGTACTCGTAAGGGTCAAAGTCATAATAAAAGTAGAGGATCAGCTGTCAGAGATCCTCGTTTTCTTGAAAACAAAAAAGTGAAGGTGAACATCATTCGGTAATGCGTTCCACATCTCGGGGTATTGACGATGTCCGATGTCCTTCTATCTATCCTCGTTATTTCGACATACGGATGCATTCGAAATTCATTTGATCATTCATATTAGGTAACTGCTCAGAAAACCTATCAAGAAATTACAGACGAATGTTTTGTCTGATGGACTGGTGTTGGGTTGAGCGGAAGTTTTTTTTGCTTTCTAGGGTAATGGTTTTTTTGTTGATTATTTCCGGCGACTTTAATCTCATCCGAAGGCCCGCATTCTGACGCAACTTTCGATTTATAGTACCTCTGTATTTTTTCAATATGGAGCGTAACCTGACAAAACAAGTTGGTGTTGTTGCATGTTTGCTGCTGCGGTGCTCTGCGTATTGAATATTAATGCATCATCAATCATTTTTCACTTGCATTTAAGCTACAACTGAATTATACAAGTATTGTATGTGAAATTCTGCCGCAGATTGCGGGTTTTTGAATAACACAGAAATCGTCGAATATGGCAAGAACTGAAAAAAAAACCTGCAGAAAAACTCCAAACCATAGTTTTTGCGCAATATAATATTTATTTTCACGTTAACAGGGTACACCAGTGCGGTGATTTCCACTTGTCGTCGCATAATCGGTAATCATCCGATTGTGGATTCTTCAATAAATATTCAGAAAATCCGGCTTGCAGCAGAAACGGTGGAAGTTGAATTTTCTGAATAATGTTTCACCATTGAAATACGTCTTTTTTGCAGTGACTTAGTTTTTACGCAAAAATAAGGTAGTCACGCGCTTCATACGCAAAAGAAAGCGCACTCAATATTCTAAACTTCTCTGCTTCCCATTTCTTGGGTGGAAGGTTTGTAAGATCGGAGAGTTCCTCAGCTTTATGAGCTTTACGTTCCGATTAGACTTCTTTGTGTTCATTTATATTGGAACCCTAAAAACTATGCGAAACGTTCCCAGACTTAGGCTCTTCTCAAAGTCTACAAGAGCACCAATGCTTCGAGTCGAATGTGCA